CCAAGAAAGTTCCATCCGTGTTATTCCTCTCTTGCCAATTGAAATGCGTAATCCACTCATTATTCCAGTTTCAAAAGTCCACTTGCTGTCACAGTGATGGATGACAAATGCGACTTTGCAGTTTTGCATTTTTTGTATCTCGAGTCAACTTGCATAATAATTTAGACTGTTTGCCCATTTGGATTATAATAACGATTGCTCATCCAGTGCCATGGCTGCTGACGTTAGCTTTACTTATTTGCTATCATCTCTGTGCTCTCTGAGCCGAGTGTGAGCAAAAATTTTAGATATAACAACAAGATGGTTCATTCATAATATTATTAAAAAAATAATCAATAATAACTCACATCACTCATGAAGGTATCCATTATCACCGTGCATAATGGCCGGGTGTTCTCCGAGTCTGATCGACTCGGGTATTACACACAATGTTAAACAGACCCGGGACCCGAAGTAGTAGATTGGGACCCAACCTGGACCCGGCTGACCATTTAAAATATAGCCCCGAACCCGTACGGATCCCGGGTCGGTTCCTCCTTGTAGACCTCTCCTCTGGTGCACCAGTGTTTGGTTGAACCTGTGACCTCTGATGTCAACAACAAAATGTATAGAGAACATCCTGTTTCAAAAGTTAACTAAAACTAAAACCATAAAAAATGTCATTATTTGAAATAAATTCAACTTTAATATAAATATTAAAAAAGCAATATAAAGAAACTAATTGCTAACTTGCCAAGGCAACATTTCTCATTTTTGTTTAGTTTAGACTGAAGAAATAACTAAAACTAAATAAGCTAAAACATAATAAATCTATATACACATTAAAACAATTATAATAAACTACATGAAAATGAGAAATGTTGCCTTGGAAACTATCTGAAATAAAATAAGTTAAAGTTTTTTAATATTATATTTTATTTCAGTTAACTTTTGTCAAAAAACAAAAATATTTTTTACCCACAATCCTATTTCAGTTTTTCTTTTTTAATAAATCTGCAAAAATGTCAACAATTCTGTGTTTTTCTGTCAATATAGGGTGCTGTGTGTACATTAATGAGGAAAAAAAATGAACTTAAATGATTTTAGCAAATGGCTGCAATATAACAAAGAGTGAAAAATGTAAGGGGGTCTGAATACTTTCCGTACCCACTGTATATATACATACATACATACATACACACACACATATATATATATATATATGTGTATGTATATATATATGTACACACACATTCAAAAGTTTGGAGTCGGTAAGTTTTTTTGGAAAGAAGTCTCAAATGTTCAGGCTGCATTAATTTAATGAAAATAAAAAAAACACTTAAACCAGTAATATTGAGAGATATTATTACAATTTAAAATAACTGTTTTCTATTGTAATACATTTGAAATGTAATTTATTCCTGTCATGAAAGCTGAATTTTCAGTATCATTACTCCAGTCTTCAGTGTCACATGATCCTTCAGAAATCATTCTAATATGCTGATTTGCTGCTCAAGAAACATTTCTCATATTGTCAATGTTGAAAACGTTTGTGCTGCTTCATATTTTTGTGGAATTCTTTAAATATTTAAATAATTTTGTGGAAATATAAATATTTTGTAACATTAGAAATGTCTTTGCTGTCACTTTTGATTGTGGTAATTAAAAAAAACTGACCTCAAACATTTGAACCATAGTTTAACTTTTTTATTATTATTATTCCATTTCTGACAGTCATTTCTTCCAAATTTCAAATGAAATATTTTATTTTCTGTGTGTAAATGACATTTTGAACATTTATGGAAGGGAATTGCTAACTCTTTTTTTTTTTGTTAAAGATAATTTCACGGCTAATATTTGATGTATCCTTAATGCAACAATCAATACTCACTTTATGACAGCTTGATAACTCATTAAAAATATTTGATTCACAAGTGATTTTTGCCATTAAATTTGCCATATATTGAATGTCAAAACATTCATGGAGACTTGTGTCGTCTTGCACAAGTTATTTATTTGTTTGTTTCTTTGTATTATTACATAACTATGCAACCGTTGTAAGTTGATACGCACTTGATAAATTGTGTAAAAATTATACAAATATTCACAAATAAATAGTGAAATGCTTTTTGTTTGTTTCAACTCCGTTTAGATTGTTATCATTAAAAAAAAATGTATGACTGTTCATAATTCAAGATTCAAAGACTGAGTTCAAGACAAGGACAAAAATAAGTGAATGATTGTAAAAAGTTTACAAAACTTTTAATGCGACCTTCATATACATTGGTTAATTACATAAATTGTGTGCAAGTACTGTATTTATTGCATCTACAACTACACAAAGTTATGTATTGTTTCTTACTACACTGAATAAAGCTAAAGGCTTGAATACACTACATGACTTTTAAAAAGCATCATACACTTACCAACTTTGTAAAAGTCACAGAGGAAAAACTGGCAATCATACACATACGACTGACGTGACGTGACATGACATGTGGCCAAGTATAGTGACCCATACTCAGAATTAGTGCTCTGCATTTAACCCATCCAAAGTGCACACACACCGTGAACACACACCTGGAGCAGTGGGCAGCCATTTTTTGCTGCGGTGCCCAGGGAGCAGTTGGGGGTTCGGTGCCTTGCTCAAGGGTACCTCAGTCGTGGTATTGAAGGTGGGAGAGAGCGCTGTACACCCCACCTACAATTCCTGGTGGTACGAGACTCGAACCCTCAACCTTTGGGTTACGAGTCCGACTCTCTAACCATTAGGCCACGACTTCCCACACTGTAGCTTGCACACTGAGAATCACACACTGCCAGTATATTAGAGGGTTAGTTCACCCAAAAATGAAAATAAGTCCATAAATTACTCGCCCTCAAGTCATCCTAGGTGTACATGACTTTCTTCTTTCAGACGAATCCAGTCGGAGTTACATAAAAAATTGTCTTTGATCTTTCAAGCTGTTTAATGCCACTCAGCGTTTAATGATTGCACGCATCAGTCCAAAAGAAGTTAAATAAAAAGCGCCCATCCATAAAAAAAGTGTCTCACACGGCTCCAGGGGGTGAACAAAGGACTCCTGTAGCGAATCGATGCGTTTTTGTAAGAAAAATATCCATATTCAAAACGTAATAATCACTTTAATGTAGCTTGCGCCAACAGTTGTACACGGAAGCAGCTCCGGGCGGATGACGTATGAGGTCAGCATTGCGCATGCGCCGGTGAGTCTCGTGAAAACCAACGTTTGTTAACAGGAGCAAAGGAAGCAAAGTTTCCTTACTTTAGCAAAGTAAGTCTCCTCTTGACATTCTTCTTTACAAATCATCGTTTTGTACTTCTAATTAGTGACCGTTGTTTTGTTTTGATCTCTCCCCTGCGCTTTGTTCACCCCCCAGAGCTGTGTGAGACACTTTTGTTTTTTATATAGATGGGCGCTTTTTATTTAACTTCTTTTGGAAGGATGCATGCAGCACTCGCTGAGTGGCATTAAACAGCTTGAAAAATAAAATACTTTTTAATTGAATTTTTTATATACCTCCGGTATACCGGTTTATTTTTGTTATGATATGAATTTTTTAAATACCGCAGTACGGTATTTAGTATGTCGCTTAAACAACGTTCGGAACGCGACACTGTTTGAAAGGGGTCCCTTTTCACTGTTGCACTGTGGGGAGGGAACAGCTGTATGTGTTACTAAGCGTGAAAGTTCCGAAACTGAAGCTGTAGAACTAATAGAACGTGATGACTCAGAAGAACTCATCCACAATATCCACATTGACCGCCACAAATATCCACCGCCCCCCTGCGGTCTTACTTTCCCGGAGAAGTGTCACCACTCTCTGCATCTGTTCTGTGCAGTGAGCGGCAGAGAAGCACCGCATTCAGTTGGCCGCACCGCAGCCGACTCGTCAATAAATGAGTACAAAACAGCGTTTCCTAGCACCTGTCGCTTACTAATTGTTTGGAATTATAAATATGAGCATAGTTCGTCTGTTAATATCACATGCACTTTTTTTATTATTTTTTTTATTTGTTACTCAGACGCAGGCAGTGCGCTGCATGAGACAAAAAAGTAATATAGCCAAAGCTACCGTATAGCCGCTCTTTAGTGTAGATGCATGTTGATTTTATCAAACGATGCCGCGATTATAAATGAGTGACTCCTGGTTAACATGTATTAAAAGGGGTCGTGTTTAGTCACTATTTAGTGTGGTATGCATGAAAAAAAAAATACCGTCATGTACCGTGAAACCGGTTTAATTTTGAAAAAGACCGTGATATAAATTTTTGGTCATACCGCCCAGCACTACTCCGACTGGATTCGTCTGAAAGAAGAAAGTCATATACACCTAGGATGACTTGAGGGTGAGTAATTTATGGGCTAATTTTCATTTTTGGATGAACTAACCCTTTAAAGTTGTTCCGATCATAGATATATTTACGTAGATTCCTCATTAGCAACTGTTTCTATGGGCTGCTTTATGTAAGCCGTCTGCCATATTGTAACGGTCAACTTGACGTCATTCACCATAGTAATCACTGAATATTCAAAAGATGCCACAATCCTGCACAGAACGGCTCAATGGCTCTGTGAGAACCTACAGTATGGTGAATGACGTCAAGTTGACCTTTCCAAGATAGCAGCCGCATCTACGTGCCTGGAGCCGTCGAATGGGGAATCTATACATATCTATGGTTCCGATCAAAAAAAACTCGAGCAGAAATGTGAGCACTGTTGCTAGGAGACGCAAGACAAATGAAAACAATGTGTGTTCTAAAATCAGCTGAAAATATCAGACATGATTGATATCCTCTGACTGGATGGAATCAAAGTCTGAAGCTAAAAAATCAGAGTCTGTGACTATCATACACTACGCGATTTTCTATGAAATCTGTCAACTCAAATCTGCAGACTGGCTCGGACTTTCAACAACTAGCGTCAAGTTCTCCAGACAGTAAATCGGGGCAAAAATCGTGTGGTGTATTCCAGCCTTAATGTGTCTTTTCTCTCTGTCAGAGGTCCATTCGGTCGTTCGGGAATGATGACCGTCACGTCATGGCCAAGCACTCCACCATCTACCCTTCCTCTGAGGCCCTGGAGGCGGTGCAGAGCCTCGTCTCCACTGTAGAGCGCACCCTGAAACACGTGTCTGATTGGATGGATCAAACTCAAGCCAGCCAGTCAAATCAATCAAATTCAGCCAGCACACAGGAGGAGGAGACGGAGGCCAGCGTGGACGAATCGCCAGAAGGCAGCACAAAGTGGGTGCATGCTGGGAAAGCAGACAGATTTCTGCAAAGAAGTTGTTTGTTCTTGATTTATTGGATCTAGATATTGCATGTCATTAATTCAGATCATATTCATATTTTGTGTTGTCTCAGCGAGGACAGCAGCTGTAGTAGCACTCCCAGTGAAGGACGGGTGTTGTGTGGAGTGATGAGGATCGGTCTGGTGGCCAAAGGCCTCCTGATTAAAGATGACATGGATCTGGAGCTGGTGCTCATGTGCCGAGAGAAACCCACCGAGACTCTGCTGTGCACCGTCTGTGACAACCTCCCTCAGCAGATCGAGGTAACGGCACACACTGAAACCACACAACCTCCTGTACTGCTGGAGATTTGATCTGCCGTGGCTAAATATACACCTAAAAGACACCTTCTTTTTATTGTTTGCATTTAATCTGTTGAAAGACTGCACTGCGGTACACTGCAGCAGGTTTTCCCTGAAGAGCAAGAGACGCTTGCTTGCCATTGACCAGTGTTTATCTGGATTTAATCTGTTGCTTGCTAACAGTGAAGCATATTTTATATTAATGCACTTGTTAAAATATGCCTGTGAAAGTGATTACCTAACGAATCTTGCAATACTGTTGCAATTTTTCCTGAAACGAGCTCAACGGCTTCTGAAATTTCCATTATTTGCAATATGAATTGGCACCATTGCAACATCTGTTACTGATTTCTTGCCCCTTTCATGTGGAAAAATATTGTTTTTACCAATATTACATGATCAGAACAAGAGTATTTTGATGTAACTTTTACAAGGTCATAAGTGAGTCTATCACACTAGTCTCAGTTTAACATGTATAAAGTGTTGTGAATGTATTTTGTGATACTGAATATTTGAATGCATTTTACACTGCTATAGTTATGAACTCAATGGTGGTGCAGTGTTTTGAGAGAAATTAAACATTGCAGATTTCTATACAGAAAAAATTGCAACATCCAAAACAGACCTGCTCTATTTATATTCATCATGTGTAATTAATATAAACCTGCCAGCAACCAGCTTCCCTAATTAGACACTTAGGACAGGCCGGGGGAACGGGCTAATCAGTGGCGACCCAGTCTGAGCCTCCCAACCACACACACACACACACACACACACACACACACACACACACACACACACACACACACACACAACAGACACCAGATACAAATCCCATTAAAGTAGACTGTACTGCCAGCAGGTCAAGTCTCCGTATAAAGGAACTGTTCTTAATGGAAACGGCAGTTGACTACTTTCCCTTTCTCTACTTGCTTCCTCTTTCTCTCAGTCAGAGCCGTTACTTCAGCGATTGAGTGATAGACGTGCATATTTCCTGTCTTAGCTCTGTGCTCTAGCTTATGAGTGTATGGAGGAAATGTGCTCTGTATAGCGGTCTGGCCACACACACGGGTCACTGCAGTGGGGGATGTAATTGATCTCTGGTTTACATGAAAAAAGCAGGCGGATTGAGAATGTGCGGCTGGAATTAATTGAATGGATTAGAGAGGCGCCCCCCACATCAGACCGATTTACAGTAAACATTCAAACGAAGCATCTGCGCTGTCTAGGTCCCACCTTATAATCTGGATTGTAAATGCATTGTGACCAGCTGTGGCCATGTGATGCCAAAGACAGTTTGTCCAGTTTGCTTTAAAGTAAAAAGTGTGAAAAAAAGTGTTCTGCATTTTGAACTCTATGAACTCTACTGTATGACATTTGATGTGCACATTTCTAAGGGCCCCTACATAATCAACATGATCAATCTACCACATGCTTTCTGTCATTTGACTGATAATTTACTCTGATTTTAGCAAGGAAAAGGCCTTTTAGAGTAATTGTAAAAATGTTGGTTCATGAGTATTTTTGCTGTGAAATCTTTACCGATTTTGATCAAATAAATGCAAGAATAAATGTTATATTGTTAGTAACATTTCAGGATGAATATTTACTGGGCTGAAGCAGCTTAGGTTTACTTTACAGGTTAAAAATCCTGTTAAAATGTGAATTTCAAATATGATCATCAGACTTTTGAGGGATGTTTATTTGTTCATCTCTCAATCATCATTGTATTGCATTATGTTTTGAAACTACAGAGCTTTGATAATCAAACTAAGCATTTAAATTGGGAAATGTAGAGTGATAACTTATATTAATATTATATTATATATTAAAATTATATTATATTACATGATTATCATGGCCAAAAGAATTCACAATAATGATATTACTCTTATTAAGATATCTGTATTGGCTGTTTATTAGTGCTTATAAAGCACATATTAATGCCTTAATCTGCATGATCATATTTTTGATCCCTTAACCTGACCCAATACCTAAACTTAACAACTACCTTACTATCTATTAATAAGCAGAAAATTAGAAGTTTGTTCAGGGAAAATTCTCAGTTATTAGTGAATGTGTTTCCTGTTCTTAAGTGTTACCATATTTTCGTATGTGTTGTATTTTGTTTCCAATGTGTTACCAATGTTTACATTTTTTTTTAAATATCATTGTCAACATAGTACATCAAATAATTTCCAAATAAACCAGCAAGAAATTTCATTTTCCCATGATTGGATCCAGATCCAATAGGTCACAACAATACACTACTATAAAACCAAGTATCCTCATTGTATGTTTTTTGACATTTTGACCTTTGACCTCTGACCCCTACAGAAGTTGACAGAGGAGAAGTATGAGGTACAGAGCTCTATTCCCGAGGCAGCCATCTTGGTCTGCACTAAGACAGAACCCAAACTCACACTGAAGGTGACGCTCACCTCCCCGCAGATGACAGACGACGGCGAGACGGAGGAGCAAGGTTTGTGCCTGCATGTGACCAACGTTTCCCCCTTTCATTTGGTAAACAGGAGGTGAGGGAGGGGATGGATGAATGTGTGTGTTAGTGATGGTCCATTAGAAAAAAGAGCTTTCATCTCTTCCTTACTCTGCGTCCAGAACACTCTCTCAGGGCCGCACACACTGCTGGACTCATCTCATAGTCAAAACACACGCAGAACTGATTCAGCAGCAGGTTGAGTGGTCTTCATGCTGCCAGACTCTTGACCCGCGGCGCCACTCACAGGAGGTGCTGAAAAAAAGAGCGGGAGGAGCATAATGCCGAGTTCACTCTGCACGATTTTCAAACTCGTCGATTGCTGTTGTTTTCACACTGCGTGACTATCTGGGGTAGCATTCAGTTGCTGCTGTGTTCACATTGCACGATGGATCAGTGATAGGGGGTTTCACACTGCATGACTTCACAATAGGAAGAACAGCTCCAGATATTTAGCATGCCAAATATTTTGCGGGTGTCGGCGATTCCCTCAGATCGCGTCTTTGATAATTCACACTGCGTGATTGTCACTCGCGTGAACAAGCACCGATTTGCCTCCGATGTCGGGTATTTGTCGGCGATTTCGCAAAACCTGTCCGTGAGTGAAAAATCGGGCTAATATCGTGCAGTGTGAACTCGGCATAAGAGAAATAAAAGACATTATAGCGTGAAACCAAATGTTCAGTCAAGAACAATGTAAGGCGGGATGTTTATTCACTACTTGGGGCAGTAAGAGCAGCCCAGTGCATTTTGGGTATAGTACTGGCAGGGACGCCAGGTGCACATGCTGTTTTCATGCCTTTAATCTGTCAGTTAAAAGAATAGTTTGCTGATAAATGAAAAATCTGTCTTTATTTACTCACCCTTATGTTGTTTCACACCTGCATGGCTTTATTTCTTCTACAAAACACAAAAGAAGCACTTTTTAGTTCATATAATGAAAGTCAATGGGGTCCAAAAGCACACCGAACCCCACTGACTTTTATTGTATGGACAAAAATACACAGACATTTTTCAAAATATCTTCTTTTGTGTCCTCAGAAGAAAGTAAGTCATACAGGTTTGGAATGACATGAGGGTGAATAAATGATGATGCAGAGGCACTTGAGCTCCGAACACGTGAGTGAAGTCAAGATGGAAGTGTGTTATTGGAGTTTTTGGTGCCGTGACCCGCGACTGACTGCTTTGACAGCTGAAGTGGTTGTATCTTTAAAGGACGGTGTCTAGGTTATAACAATTTGAGCTGCAGTTGATGTGAAACGTGCTGTTTCTTTCCCTCACATACACGTACACACTCTCAAGCACATTTGGTCAGGTTGCAACCCTGCGGGACATGCTTGAGTGCTCATCTGTTACAGTGACGGTAGCAAAACTCAGTACTAAAGAGGAAGATAGACTTACCTAGATGTCTTATTACTGAGGCCTTCATGGATTTCCATAAAGTGGTGCAGATTTCTGTAGAATTTAAATACGATAATTTTATTACTAAAGAATGAAGTACACTCCACTGTTTTGAACACTCAGCCATGTTTAAATCCATTACTTGGATTCACTTTGTAAATGTTAACCTAAAATCAGCACAGTAAATAATTCCATCTGGGCTTAACACACGGTCACATTTAGCATTGTTCGTAGCATTGGTGAAATCCAGTCATTTTAACAGGAATTCACACAATTAGGAATTTCGCATGAAGGTGAAAGATTTCCCCACACAGATTTTGTTTCTGGTGTAAGTTGGTCAAGTGGATTGGCCGTGTTGACCATCAAAAAGCAGCTTGGTTTGAAAGTGCATCACTACACTATTGACAATAGACATTGGACCCTGTTTATGGCCGCACCTTTAGTTATTGAGTTAGCTAGCTATACGTATTTTTAATTTTGAACCTAAATCAATTTACTCAACAAGAACTGTTGCTTCAAATAATTAGACTGACTGTAGTAGAAGTTCTTACAGCACCAGTTGTACTTGCGTTTAGTGATACAGGCCAATATTTGGCCATTTTGAAATTCGTTGTCTCGCCTACTGAGCTAATGAAAGAAAAACAGATAAAAATCTGCATTGTTAATGGACAATGGTCCATTTTGAAACATTTCAATGAATTTCAAGTAAATGCTGTGTAAAAAAAAGGTTAAAATTTTCAGCATCACATCGGCCACCCTGCTTTCTATTTATTGATATCAGTATTGGGAAAAAAACTATTTCAGTTGACTACTAATTATTTTTGGTTATGATTTTTCAAAATCAGTGCTGCACAAAATAACTAGAAGCATTTGAATTGCATTAAACGGATATTCCACCCAAAAATGAAAAAAAGTTTTTTGAAACGTCAACTTGATTTCTATGCCTTAAATCATTACTTGCATTATATGAACTCACATACGTGGATTATTTTTCTATGAATCTTTCTTTGTGTTCATCAGAAGAAAGGGTGGAGTATTCCTTTAAAGGGATAGTTCACCCAAAAATGTAAAAAAAAAAAAATTCATCATTTACTCACCCTCAAACTGTATGAGTTTGTTTCTTTTGCTGAACACATAAGAAGATATTTTGAAGAATGTGGGTAACCAAACAGTTCCTAGTCCCAGTTGACGTCCAGAGTATTTTTTTCCATACTATGGACGTCAATGGGGACCAGCAAATGTTTGAGTAAATGATGACAGAATTTTTATTTTTGGGTGAACTTTAAAGCCAATGTGCCTTAATCTTGTTCTCTCGTTTTCACATACACACTCATTTTCTCATGGGTTTGCTCACTCTGCCATCCTCTTTGATGTAGATTGTTAGAAGCAGGGGGAGGAAAATGAAAGAATGTATCCGGGTTGAGGAATCAATACCTGTGGCAGCACACACCTCATCCATCTAGCAGACGTATCAGATGTGGACACTGCCCCTGGAGTGAGGGATGACAGATGACAGGAGGGAGGGAGAGATGGAGCGATGTGTTGTAGATCACGACAGGAGCCCCTCGTATTTTCCCGACCGGGTCAAGGGCCCTGTCCCATTGAGTAACGGCTCAATCTCAGGACCGGCCCGAATGGGCAGTACTCATCAGCTCGCGCTCAGACACACACATGCATAAATGACACAGACATACACGCGCGCACGCACACACACACACACACACACATACACACATAACGATGTAATATTAGAACATGCCTGGGTTGTATTTCACCCCATAAATCTAAAGAAAGAAAGAACATGAAGCTTGTTTTAAAGTCATAAATATTTAACATTATGGCATTATTTCATGACATTTAAGCACATTTTACTCCCAGTTCTTATTACTATAATGCAAAAGAAACATATTCTCATTACTTTAAACCAAAATAATAATAATAATGATAAAAATAATAATGCACAAGTGTCACAATGAAAAAGCTGAATGGTCCTAAAAGTAGATTTTACTTTTTAATAAATTTTTTTTATTTAATTTTTTATTTTTTGTGAAATTCCGTGGGTTCCAGATGTCTATTTAGCAAAACAAGGATTCATTATTTTTTCCGTTGGATTTTATATTTTGCTTATAACTTGTATAAAAATATCTATTAAATAACAAAAAAAGATTAAAAAAAAAAAAAGATTAAATCAAATTAACTAGAGGTCTCAGACTTTTGGACCCCTACTTTGTTTGTGCTGTAGATTTGTGTGATTCGATTAAGAGAGCACTGTAGCATTTGTCTCATTTTGAGTGTGTGTATGTTTGTGTGGTGATAAATGATGGCTTGATGTTGATTTTTGCGGTATGTGTGTGTCATTGATTGGAGGGCAGGCTAAACCTTTATCACTCTGACAGATCTTCCTCTTTATCCATCCTCAGCTCGGCTGCTCTGATTAAAACCCAGAGAGGAATTATGAAAGAGAGTAATGCTTTAGTTATTGTCATATAAGCTCTAAATAACCCCTCATAATTAATACCCCATACACCTGCACACCTTGTCCTGGACTTACACTGCGGCAGCCTTTTCTTTCTTTTATCTGTTTGTTTATCTGCAGAGGAACACAGTGTTATGGGCTCACTGGTACGTAGACGCTCACCTACCGAGCCAATGAAAGAAAAAAAATGATCAAACTAGTTAAAGAATGAACCTTATGTATTGTTTGGGTGGGAGAGATGAAGAAAAATGTTCTGACAACTCACAATGTGAGTGTGTGTCGTGTGCGAGCCATCTCTTCTCTTGTTGTGACTGGTCTATAACAATACCCACTGCATGTCTTCATTATTCCAGTGTCAATCCAAGCACAAACTGGCTCTGATTTGCTGAAGTTGTTAGCGTGTGTCGCTGCTTTTGACGTTAGCGCCTAACCAGACATGCCGCAGGAAATTAGAAAAATCTTTCTCTGCCCGTACTGAAATGCTGTGTGAAGAGATGAAATCACAGGCAATCAGAAAGTATTTGATTTTTATATATACAGATGTTTCTTCAGCTATATTCAGTCTGTGGACTTTTAGAAACTAAACTAAACTCCATTAAAACATCTTTGTCACACTCTCACTAGTTTATTTTGTCTATTAACAATGTCTAACACAGGGTATACACCACTGTTCAAAAGTTTGGGGTCAGTAAGAGTTTTTTTAAGATATTAATACTGTTTTATATTAATATCGTCCGTTTTGACATCTATACTGTTTTGACATTTATAACGTTACAAAAGATTTCCGTTTCAAATAAATGACTGTTCTTTTGAACTTTCTATTTATAAAATAATCCTGAAAAAAGGTATGCTTGTTTCCACAAAAATATGAATTGGCACAACTGTTTTCAACATTCATAATAATAAGAAATGTTTCAAATCCGCATATTAGAATGATTTCTGAAGGATCATGTGAGTATCATGTGTTATTTTAATATATATATAAAAAAATGATTTAAGTTGTAATAATATTTCACAATATTACTATTTTTAAAGTGTTTTTGATCAAATAAATGACATCTTGGTGAGCATAAGAGACTTCTTTCTAATACATATTAAAAACATCTTACTGACCACAAATTTATGTACGGTAGTGTTATTTTTTTTCTTTCTTCCCCTAATCATTTTCTGAACCAACAAATGCCATTTACTCCACATCTCAAATTATGGATTGTCATTTCCAACACAGAAAAAAGTAAAAATACAAAAAAAAATTGATTATTTTTAAATAAAATCTTATAAAATAAAAATAACTCAAATTAATTATATAAAAAATAACACTGGCCGTAAAAGTGGCTGAAATTCTATAATCACCACTACTTCTGTGTTGGAATTTTGGACCAATCAGAGTGTGCTGTGGGCGGAGCTATCCAACATCTAAAAAAAAAAAAATAGAACAAAGTGCCCAAAAATGTATTGTTGCTTGTCACTTTTGTGGCTCATTAGGCCAAAACATTCACTCATGGACTCACATTAATACAGAGGAGGCTGTATTAAGGCGTGCCTGGGTAGGATAGTATGTAACGCCAATTGAACAGCTTGGATCAGCCTTTTTTTGTAGGCTGTGTTTAGAATTTCGTAACTCTTGGCACATGCTAAAACCTTCTGCGAATCCTTCCTCCAGTTTCCAGCCAGCCAAGGAGATGCACTGAGGTTTCATCTCTTTTGGATGCACTGGACCACCTCAGCCAATTGGCATCCTCCTTTCTCCTTCCTGCTGTGCCTTAACAGCCCCCTCCCTCATCACGTGTACGTATATGTGTGAGCGTGCCTGTCTACACGTGTGTGATTTGATTTCCTGTCCCGTTCTTCTCACCGATAGAGAGCGTTGAGTCGAGCGAGCCGGCGGACCTGTTGGATAGACAGAGGTGCCTGGTGGCGTTGGCCTCTCTGCGACATGCCAAATGGTTCCAGGTTGGCGCTCACTTCTTTTCATTGTTATTGTAGCCTTATGACCCAAAACTACATGCCATTTTCCTTGATTTCCTCCAGCTCTCTAAATGCTCGACACCTCATCACAAACATTTACGTATCGTAAGGCTACAAAAGCAATTGTTACACTTTTAGTTTTCTTTTGCCTGTTTTTGTTTGTCCATAACCTGCTTGTTATCATGAAGGATTTGTCTAGTGCTTTCCTGCACCGTATCTTCCCTTCTCCCACCCCACCGACATAAGCGCCGCCCCCTCCTCCATCTTCCACTCAACACGGGCCAGAACCGAACCACAACACACACCTCCACACTCACACACACAGTCAAGATCTACAGATTTAGGGGTTAAAGGTTGGGTTTGATTGTTGCTCTGAGTTCATTGGCTGATTCCCTCTGGTTTCCTCAGGCTAGAGTTAACGGGTTAAAGTCGTGCGTGATTGTCTTACGAATACTGAGAGACATGTGCAATAGAGTCCCGGCGTGGGAACCTCTGAAAGGATGGGTGAGTATCAGACTTCTGATCCCTTCTGATATCATTGCAAATATTGCAGTGAAGATACAGTAAAACTTTAGGGATAGATTAAGGAATTCAATGACGACAGACCATTGAATTTTTTAAAATTGGGGGTCAGTGGCGTAATGCAGACGTTACACTTCAGGTACATATTAATTGTCATTATATATTGTGGTTAATTATTCTTGTATAAGTGTATTTTAAATCCCAAAACCGTTCTGCTCTGTGTAGAAATGCATCTTTATGTCATAGATTAAATATCTTGCTTAAAAATACCTCAATCTGCTATTATTATTTTGAAAAAAATAAATGAAGTGATATTGAACTGTTAAGACAATCAAGATTCAAACACATTCATTTGTCATCCAAAAAAAATAAAAAATAAAAGAATTTGGCCAGTTTCCATTTGTACAAATTTTGCATGACTTTCAGTGTTTTCAGAAATATGATAAAAACACAAACATAATCAGAAGAGCTTCCATATATTGAAAATTATTAATGAATTGAGATGCCGTGTGTCAATCCTAGTGGCTAAATAGTCATATACACAGTTGTATATTATACAGTAAAAACAGTAATATTGTGAAATATTATTACAATTTAAAATAACTTCTCTATTTGAATGTATATTCAAATGTAATTTATTCCTGTGATCAAAGCTGAATTTTCAGCATCATTACTCCAGTCTTCAGTGTCACATGATCCTTCAGAAATCATAATAATATGCTGATTTACTGCTCAAGAAACAGTTCTTATTATTATCAACGTTAAAAACTGTTTGTCATAGTTGTTATGCTATATGGTATATTTTTGCATGTCTAAATGCTGTATGGGCCATTCAGCCTTACTGGATCTACTCTATTCTAAATATCTTGTATTTGAGGGATTAAACTGAATGGTTTTACAATAACCACAGACGTAATCTCTCATTTCTGTGTCACATAGGCAACATTTTGATGAATTGATAGTTCATGTAATAAATCAGTCTTTGAAAAGCGATTTGCTCTTCTGTCCTAAGCCTTTGGAGTTAATATGTGAAAAGGCCATCGCCACGTGCAACAGACCTCTGGGAGCAGGAGAGGCTCTGCGCCGGGTCATGGAGTGTCTCGCCTCCGGCATACTGCTTCCAGGTATGAGCACTTCCAGAAAGAAGCAATGAAATGAGTAACAAAAAACTATAAAAACAGTTTGAAGTTCTGGAGAAGAGCTCCAGCTTTCTTTGAAATATACAGTAGCTATATCTATGCATGGAGCATTTCTATACGTTATCTTTTATGGTTATTTCAATTTCAGTACATACACTACTGTTTAAAAGTTTGGGGTCAGTAAGATTTATTTAAATTTTTTTGAAAGAAGTCTCTTATGCTCAAGGCTGCATTTAATTGATAAAAAATACTGTCAAATCAGAAATATTGTGAAATATTATTACAATTCAAAATAAATGTGTTCTATTGTATTATATTTTAAAAGGTAATTTATTCTGTGATCAAAGCTGAATTTTCAGCATCATTACTCCAGTCTTCAATCTCACATGATCCTTCAGAAAGCATTCTAATATGCTGATTTGCAGCTCAAGAAACATTTCTGATTATTATCAATGTTGAAAACAGTCGTGCTGCTTCATAATTTTGAGGGAACCGTCATGTGTATATAGTATCAAATTTTGATACCTGATTTATATAAAAATAAAAAGAGTAAATAAAAAAAAGTAAACCGTATAAAATTATCCATTGTATATTAATAGATCTCTAATCTTATTTGGCTTTAAATAAGCCTTCCAACCTGAATATGCAAGATAAATGTGAATAAGTCCTGTACAGTGTGATGACAGCAGCGGTGTCACTATCAGATCTGGCTTTCATTTGCAAAGCTCTAGTTCCTGTATGAGGCCCAGAGGAATAATGGAGCCTCATTTATCTGCTCTTGACATAACTAGTCCATCCCTCGCTACACTTATACTCTTTTCTCAGTTATTTATTAATAATGAGATGCAGGCATTAATATTTGATTGGCTTGCATGGGAAATAAGCCTCAATGATATATACCTATGTGAACATAAAATATATATATTTGTATTGTACCTTCAGGGCATAGTTTAAATGATAAAGGTTGACTTTAGGGTTTAATTAACTCCTCACCTGCGATGATGGAGAGTAACTCACTAAATAATGAAACACTACAGTTTCCAGTAACTCCACAGCTCTTGACTGTGTCCTTGTCAACTATGTAAATTATGTCTGTTGGTGATTTGTATTTCCCCATTTATACAACACTCATTTTTGGTTTCCTCTCAGGTGGACCAGGCCTGCATGATCCCTGTGAGAAGGAGCTGACGAACACCCTGTCGGCCATGACGGATGAGCAGGCGGAGGCCATCACGTATAATGCACAGGTACAAGCAGTGTGTGTCGGGATGTGTGTGAGATGCAGGTGTGTGACCGTGAGAAGAGGAGAGCCGTGCTGCTCTCAGCAGAGCTTATCTCATCTGTACTGTCTAGATTACTGCCATGTGTCTCTCACGCACAAACACACTCACTCACTCACTCACTCACTCACTCACTGGTCTTATCAGTGATTCTGACCCTCACTCACTCACTCACTCACTCACTCACTCACTCACTCACTCACTCACTCACTCACTCACTCACTCACTCACTCACTCACTCACTCACTCACTCACTCACTCACTCACTCACTCACTCACTCACTCACTCACTCACTCACTCACTCACTCACTCACTCACTCACTCACTCACTCACTCACTCACTCACTCACTGACTCACTGGTCTTATCAGTGATTCTGACCTATATGTGTACGCACAAACACAAACACAAACACAAACACAAACACAAACACACGCACACAAACGCACACAAACACACACACACTCTCACTCACTCACTCACTCACTCACTCACTCACTCACTCACTCACTCACTCACTGACTCACTGGTCTTATCAGTGATTCTGACCTATATGTGTACGATACTCCTGTCGGCAGTGAGGCATGTCACAGCCCTGTGTAAATACACTCTGGCTGGTCAATGGATTAGAACAAAAATATTTTATTTTTTTTATATATATATTTTATATAATTTTATTTTATGTTTTTTCATATTTTATTCAATTTTATTTTATCTGCCATGTGTCTCTCACGCACAAACACACTCACTCACTCACTCACTCACTCACTCACTGGTCTTATCAGTGATTCTGACCTATATGTGTACGATACTCCTGTCGGCAGTGAGGCATGTCACAGCCCTGTGTAAATACACTCTGGCTGGTCAATGGATTAGAACAAAAATATATATATTTTTTTATATATATATTTTATATAATTTTATTTTATGTTTTTTCATATTTTATTCAATTTTATTTTATATTTCATTTTAACCAAACAGACATTGTTGACAAGTAGGTTCAAACTGAGTACAGTTATTATTATTATTTTTTAACCTACTTGTCAACAATGGCTGTGTATAAACAGTTGTGGCCAGAATGTTAATTATTTGATCAAAATAGGAGTTATTATATTGTTATTTTATTTAGTACTGTGCTTACTAAGAAATTTTTCATAAATATAGTACACAACATAAAATAATTGCTGAATTTATAAATATGATAACTTTCAAAAGTTTACAAACAATTCAATATACAAATATACAATATATTTGTATTGTATATTGTATATATTCAGTATACAAATTATTCTTAATACGTTTGATTACTAGATGATCCTATATTTTTTTTGTTTTGTGATGGTTGTTCACAAGTCCTTTGTTTGTCCTGAACCAAAATTGCAATTATTTTGTCTTCTAGGAAACATGCAAGTAAAATCAGAGATGGTGTTAAAACAAAACTAAATGAAAAAAGCACATTAAAATTATTTAATTTTATATTACCAGTAAAATCTTATTAAATGTACTGTGAATGTTTCATGTATCATCCAGCTCTAACACACACACATACACACACACACTCATCCCGATAGAGCACCTTGATGATTGGCTTTCTAATGAGCGTGGGAAAGTGATACGGCGCCGGCCCGTGAATCATACTCTCTGCCCCGGGGACTGTGTGTGTGTGCTGCATCTCTGAGTAGATTTCTGTAGCTCTCTTTTCCTTTGAACACTCGTGCAGTCGAGATCAGGATCACAATGTGCCTAATTGTTTCGCAGCAGATCGAAGAGGTTCAGTACAAACACACACCCTTCCTGACTCCAAACACACCACTGAAGCTAAGAAAATGTTTGATTGCTTAACGTATTTATCAAGTTGTATAATTAACTTAAAGAAGAAGAAAAAACTAAACCGCAGTATATTAAGTTTTGGGGAACATAATAATTGATTGTATATATTTGTTTTATTCATCTTCTACTTTAGTGAATGTGATGCGTCAGGGTTTTTTTTTTTTGGCGATAATGTGGGTATAAATGAGGATTTATTTTTACTGCAGTTTCCCGTAGTCATAAATGAGATGCATTTGGTGATATGCCATAGCAACGCCTACCTGCAGAGATACTGCATTCAAGAGAGAGTTTATGTCGTCACACAGGAGACTGAAAGATACTTATCGATGCCTGGGTAATCACTGGATTTGAAGAAAGGACAATGTAAATCTAGCTTCATTGAAATTAAATTTTAGCTTATTAAATTGTTTTTCTTAATGCTTATTAACCTTAAATATCACTTTAAACTTTAGTTTAGGAACAATATGTAATCACCAATGCTAAGCTTGTGAAACAGAGGGAAAGTGGGTGAATAATTATGCATTCAACTTTGTTGTAAGAAGTTTGGGGTTAGTAAGATTGTGATTTAATTGTTTTATTTTCGAAAGAAATTAAGCAAGGATGCATTGAATCGATCAGATTTAACATTTGTAATGTCACAAAAGAGTTTTATTTCAAATAAATGCTGTTATGTGAACTTTGTATTCATTCACTGAGGTCTTGAGTAATGGCAGCAGAAAATTCAGCTTTGCATCAAAGGAAAAAATACATTTTTAAATATATTCAAATAGAAAACAGTTCTTTGAAATTGCAGTACTGTCTTGACTGTATTTTATATCAAATAAATGCAGCCTTGGTGAGCATAAGAGACTTTAGAAATCATTGCAGAATGTTACCAACCCCAAACTTTATATAAAAATAATAATTATTATTATTATTATCAAATATATAATAAAAATCTGTAAGGAAATTAATGTGTAATCATATAATTTTTAATCATTTAAGCATGAACCTTTAAAGGGTCATGAAACCCCAGACTACTTTGTCTGAGATTTTAGCAGAGGTGTTTGTGTTGCTCATTATAGAAGACAATGTTAGCATCCGATAACTTTAACTGTTTGAGAACTTTTTTTGCGCTGTTTTCATCTTCCGGGTTTAAAATCGACATTGTGTTGACGTCAAAATTTCTGACGTGGCTAAGTACTATAGTACATCGATGACGCGTCGGTGTCTATTAAATTATTCATGAGACTGAGTGTTCTTATCCTATGAGAAGAGGCTTCGCTTAATTCACAACAGCATGTGTTGATTTGCTATGACAGACGCTTCAGACTGTGAGACTGCGTACATTATCTGAGAGAAACGATCATGGATCGAAGGAAGGAGAGCGTTTGTTTTTGCTTTGTTCGGCACAAACTCGATTCATTCACTTAGTGAGTGTAACCGTTTTTACAGCTCTGTGACACAAGCTGTCAAAAGACTTATATAAACGCAGGAAAGAATAAGCCTAAAAAGTTATCAGAGGTGCAACAGCGCGTTCATATATATGTTGTCGATGCAGAGTGCAAATGGCTGTGCATTTATTTTTATTTTTAAATTGATGGGAGCGAAATGAAACCCGAAGCTGTGTGTGTGTTGTCTGTCTCCCCTCTTCCCGCTCCGCTGCGCACCACTCCCACTTTTTTAGCATTTTTTAAAACTGTAGTGAGAACTAACCAGTGCTGAAACATTCACAACAGCATGTGTTGATTTGCTATGACAGACGCTTCAGACTGTGAGACTGCGTACATTATCTGAGAGAAACGATCATGGATCGAAGGAAGGAGAGCGTTTGTTTTTGCTTTGTAATAAGAGTTCGGCACAAACTCTATTCATTCACTTAGTGAGTGTAACCGTTTTTACAGCTCTGTGACACAAGCCGTCAAAAGACTTATATAAACGCAGGAAAGAATAAGCCTAAAAAGTTATCAGAGGTGCAACAGCGCGTTCATATATATGTTGTCGATGCAGAGTGCAAATGGCTGTGCATTTATTTTTATTTTTAAATTGATGGGAGCGAAATGAAACCCGAAGCTGTGTGTGTGTTGTCTGTCTCCCCTCTTCGCGCTCCGCTGCGCACCACTCCCACTTTTTTAGCATTTTTTAAAACTGTAGTGAGAACTAACCAGTGCTGAAACAGGGGGTTTCATGACCCTTTAAATATATCAAAAATGAAGTGAAGTGAAGGAACATCAGACTCTTCCAGTACGAACAGCTTTGTTGATTATCATGGAAGTGATCTAGTTTTATCAGGTGATGTAAACATTTTGTAACAATTCCAATAGTTCATCTAGAGTCACATGCGTGTCTTTTGGAAATGTTTATGTACAGTGGGTACGGAAAGTATTCAGACCCCCTTAAATTTTTCACTCTTTGTTATTTTGCAGCCATTTGCTAAAATCATTTAAGTTATTTTTTTTTCCCTCAATGTACACACACCACCTCATATTGACAGAAAAACACAGAATTGTTGACATTTTTGCAGATTTATTAAAAAAGAAAAACTGAAATATCACATGGTCCTAAGTATTCAGACCCTTTGCTCAGTATTTAGTAGAAGCACCCTTTTGATCTAATACAGCCATGAGTCTTTTTGGGAAAGATGCAACAAGTTTGTCACACCTGGATTTGGGGATCCTCTGCCATCCCTCCTTGCAGATCCTCTCCAGTTCGGTCAGGTTGGATGGTAAACGTTGGTGAACAGCCATTTTTAGGTCTCTCCAGAGATGCTCAATTGGGTTTAAGTCAGGGCTCTGGCTGGACTATTCAAGAACAGTCACAGAGTTGTTGGGAAGCCACTCCTTCGTTATTTTAGCTGTGTGCTTAGGGTCATTGTCTTGTTGGAAGGTAAACCTTCGGCCCAGTCTGAGGTCCTGAGCACTCTGGAGAAGGTTTTCATCCAGGATATCCCTGTACTTGGCCGCATTCATCTTTCCCTCAATTGCAACCAGTCGTCCTGTCCCTGCAGCTGAAAAACACCCCCACAGCATGATGCTGCCACCACCATGCTTCACTGTTGGGACTGTATTGGACAGGTGATGAGCAGTGCCTGGTTTTCTCCACACATACCGCTTAGAATTAAGGCCAAAAAGTTCTATCTGGGTCTCATCAGACCAGAGAATCTTATTTCTCACCATCTTGGAGTCCTCCATGCGGGCTTTCATGTGTCTTGCACGGAGGAGAGGCTTCCGTCGGGCCACTCTGCCATAAAGCCCCGACTGGTGGAGGGCTGCAGTGATGGTTGACTTTCTACAACTTTCTCCCATCTCCCGACTGCATCTCTGGAGCTCAGCCACACTGATCTTTGGGTTCTTCTTTACCTCTCTCACCAAGGCTCTTCTCCCCCGATAGCTCAGTTTGGCCAGACGGCCAGCTCTAGGAAGGGTTCTGGTCATCCCAAACGTCTTCCATTTAAGGAATAGTATAAGGAGAAATCAAGACAAAATGTCTGAGCTGCTCGCTTGTTTGCAATAAAAGTTAATGTTGATTAGGGGCTGTCAAGCATAAAAAAGCACCATGGAAGTAGTCCACATGACCCGTGTGGTGTATTTTAAGTGTTTTGAAGCCTTTTGATACTGGAACGTTACACACTTTTATGGAAGAGAGCAGCTTGGACATTTTGCGTAATTTTTTCTTTTGTGTTCTACGGAACAAATAAAGTCATACGAGTTTCAAAAGACTGGGTGAGGGTGAGTAAATAATGACAGAGTGTTTATGTTGGGATGAAATATTCTTTTAACAATATGCACTTTAAGCCAGAGTGTTGATGCGGGTGACTTGAGTTCAAGACTCGCTTGCATAATTTCCAGATCCTGTTGACCCCCTTTTTTTTTTTATTAATTTTCTCTGTAAAAAATAAAAAATAAATAAAAGTGGCCAAAACGTTTCATTTGTTTAGTGCTTCAGCCAACAACTGTTTTTATTGGTCTTGGTTTTGATTTAAATTAACTGATTAATCATAAATAAGCAAATATATTTATGTGTCCGCATTAATTATTATTATTATTTATCACACTAAGCCATATCAAGATTTTGGTTTAATTTCATTTAATTGTTCCACCCTAGATAGCGAAATTCTAAATTACAAAAGCAAACTTTTTTTTGGACAAATTGTGCACATTTAGACCATGGGCATGTATTAAAATAAACTGAATGTGATCCACTTTGATTTCATGATGACTTTACCGTAAAGCAGCTCTAAAAAAAGATAATTGTGTCATTATTTAGCTTAATTTAGTTCAGTGTTGATTGAATGTTGTTCAATGACAGGTTCATTAGTTATGAAGCAAAGCCTGTTCAATTATAAAGTAGCTCTTCATAAAATAATAGTATCATTATTCAGCTCAATTCAGTTCAGTGTTGATTCAGTTTAGTTCAATAATAGAAAAAGATTCACCGATATATAAAACAAGCTTAATTCAGCTGTAATCAGCTTTACACAAGACAATCATTTGGTTATTCGGCTCAGTTCAGTGTTGGTTCAGTTCAGTTGAATGACATGTTTTGCATCTAGGTGCGAACTCAGGGTCCTATTTTGACGGCCAGCGGGAAGAACCCGGTTATGGAGCTGAATGAGAAACGCCGTGGGCTGAAGTACGAGCTCATCTCGGAGAGCGGAGGAAGTCACGACAAACGCTTCATCATGGAGGTGGGCCTCACCAGACACAAATGTACCACTTTATCCCTGTTCGCCAATGAAAGACTGATTATTAGTGACGTTTGCTAAGGCAAGCATTACTGTTATTGTTATTAACTCATAGGGATTTGAACAAACATCTAACCCAAATATTAATCTTCGTTGTGTAACATGTCCCACGTTGTTTGTACTGCAGACATGAATGCCTTTAATGAATGACTCTCTCCTGAATTTAGATAAGGAGAGGGTTTTTCTGTAACTTTATGAATCAAATGTAGGTTTTTCACTTGGTGGATACTAAAATGCACAATAAATCCTTTAAGGAGAAACCCATTTTAGAGAATCCATAATATTGTGGTGCTGACTTTTTCACTGACAAGAACCATTCACATTTGCTTTAGAAAGAGTCAAAATCTACAATAGCGAAAAGTTTGGGAAAATTTTTTAAAGTCGCTTCTGCTCACCAAGCTTGCATTTATTTGACCAAAAATACAGTAAATACAAACAAACAAAAAAAACAGTTATATCGTGGAATATTATTACAATTTTAAAGTACTATTTTATTTTATTTTAATGTTTTAAAATGTAATTTATTTGCAAAGCTGAATTTTCAGCATCATTACTCCAGTCTTTAGTGTCAGCACCATAGGAATATATAATATTCAAACAGAAAACAGTTATTTTAAATTGTAATAATAGTTCACAGTATTACTGTTTTTGCTATATTTTTATGCAGCCTTGGTGAAAAATCCTAATTATTACATAGGGTTTACCAAAAAAAAAAAAAGACCTTATCATACATGTCATCTCACATTTCAGTCATTGATCTCATTTCCTGTTCAAAATCCTCATCCTGTGCTCTCGTGAGCAGGTGGAAGTGGACGGGCAGAAGTTTCGTGGTGCAGGGCCCAATAAGAAAGTAGCCAAAGCCAGCGCTGCCCTCGCAGCTCTAGAAAAACTCTTCTCTGGGCCTAATGCTGCTGGCAACAAGAAGAAGAAAATAATCTCTCAGGTAGGTCATCCGTTGCTTCGATTAGTGACCGATAACATCCAGATGGTGTTGTTCAGTATTCAGTGTGTCCATCAGATAACCGGGGTCAGTGCCTGATAATCCATGACTGCTCTAGATATTCTGTGATCGATGTTGCCTCAATGAAACTGAGACCTGCAGACTAATTCATCTCTTTTCTCCAGAAATCAATCTGTGACATCCCTACACTTGGTTTTACTGTAGATTCTTGTCGCTGATTAAAGCCTGTGGGGGTTATTAACTCTCTCTCTGTGTGTGTGTGTGTGTGTGTGTGTATTGTAGAGTAAAGGGGCATTAGCTGCAGCTGCTGCTGTGTCTGCCGTTGCGGTTCAGGCTGCACGAGGGCGAGGAAGACCCACCCTCACGCGAGGAGCCTTTGTCAGCGCTGCGGCAGCACCTGGATACGTCACACCAGGTGTGTATTTGATGCCAGACAGTGTTTCTAGAGTGACTACAAACCTCAAATAGATTTTTTTGGCACTTGTAAAATTACATGCACCAATGCATGTCTATTACAACTGCACCACTTTACCTACAACTTACACTTAGGGCTGGGCAGTAAATCGAATCCGATATATCGATATATTTTTTACTAATATATGGAATGAGGCAATACTGTTGATATCCATATAGGCCTACAGTAGTTTGATACGAGCGCATCTGAAAAATAGCGGAGGACACTGAGTGAGCTGCTGTGGGGAAAGTGCATAATCCAATGTGTTCTAAACATGTCTTTATATTAAGGGGTTTAAAATAACTCGTAAGATATAGTTAACACGTTTAGTTTAAAGCGGCTCGCTCCGATGCTCTGACAGACTCATGTTCTGCTGACAGAGAGGCTACTTGTGCTGTTTAATGTGTTTGAGATGTGCTTTTTCCCTCAGGGCATGGAAATATTTCCATTTCCCTGTCAGGACTGGATTAGCCTTCTGCATGATTCTCCGCTAAACTTCACAGACGTAATGAACGAGCGATGCCGTGCGCATGCGTGCCAAACAGACAGAGTGTAATGGAATAGGAGTGCAGTAATTCTGACTAAAATATACATTTTGCTAAAATATTTGTTGTTGTGCAATAAATGTGCCATATGTAGACTTTTACACCTACAAGTATATTTTTACAAGTATAGTGTATTTTTATGATAACAGTAGCCTAACTGTAAAAGTTAGACTATTGCAATGCGGTAATCAAAATGGCCTAATACAATTAGTCCTTTTTAGTTTAGTGACTTTAAGTTCTGCTTTAAGGAGCATTCTTTTTTATTTTTAGATTATAATGTTACAATGTTAGAATGTCATGTGATTTTAACCCTTTTTTGCACATAGGCTATTACATGGCCTAGCCTACATGGTTACATTCACTATATTTGTTTTCATTGCCTTTATGAATTTTGTTTCATTGGACAACATTGGGCAGGATGTAAACCAACATTTTAATAAATACAGGTTTTGTTTTTCATCCAAATAGAAAAATGTAGAAAATACCAAGATATATATTGTACTGTACAGTCATGGCCAAAAATATCGGCACCCTTGGTAAATATGATCAAAGAAGGCTGTGAAAATGAATCTGCATTGTTAATCCTTTTGATCTTTTATTTAAAAAATTCACTAAAATCTAACCTTTCATTGGATAATAAGAATTTAAAATGGGGGGAAATATCATAAATGTTTTTCTCTAAAACACATTGGCCACAATTAACGGCACCCTTTTATTCAATACTTTTTGAAACCTCCATTTGGCATAATAACAAAAATTTTCTCCTATAATGCCTCATGAGGTTAGAAAGCACCTGACAAGAGATCAGAGACAATTCCTTCATCCAGAATCTCTCCAGATCCTTCATATTCCCAGCTCCATGATGGTTCTTTTCAGTTCACCTCACTCATTTTCTATAGGGTTCAGCTCAGATGACTTGAATGGCCATAGCAGAAGCTTGGTTTTGTGCTCAGTGACCCGTTTTTGGTTTGTTTTTGGATTATTGTACGGTTAGAAGATCCAAACATGGCCCATTATAAGATTTCTAACAGAGTCACTTTTAGATTTTTTATCTGTTGGTATTTGATAGAATCAAAGATGCCATGTGTCTAAACAAGATGTCCAGGACCTCCAGCAGAAATATAGGCCCACAACATCAAAAATACAGCAGTATATTTCATTGTACACATGGGGTGCTTTTTATCCCCGTGTTCACCAAACCCATCTTGAGTGTTTGTTGCTAAAA